TGCGGACGCGAATCCGAGCGCGGAACAGATGTTCAAGAGGGGGGGGCGCCCCCCCCCCCCCACGAGAGCACCCCTGGACAAGGAGGGGCGCATCGCACATGCTCGCGCAGAGCAGACGACTGTTCAACAGTGGCGAGGGGGCCACCAACGTCAAACAGTGGAACCAGGACTCTTCGCTAAAAACGGGGCCAAACAGGGGGCGTGGACAAGTCTCGGCCGTCGAAATTCAGAACAGACGCGGTGATGTTCCAGAGAACCAGTCGCCCCATCAGAGTCGCATCGCCGGCAGCATCTATCAATCCTGCTGCGGAACCTCGCGCTCGCACGCGCGCCGCGAGAGAGAATTCTCAAACTAGCAAGCCCGATATAACAAGAACTGGCAACAACAACGGTCGCCGATGCTTGCATAGCCTCCACCAAATATCCATCGCTGGACTCGCTCGAATAGACAGTGAAGTGGAAGAGGGGTCGATGGTGGGGCCCTGAGACGCGCCGCGCGCTTCCGCTGGGGCCCCCCAGCCAGGAGGGGCGCACTGCATAAGGATATCTTCTCTTCCCAAGAACCGATTATATAACGAACAAATGCGCGCTGCCACCGCGGAGACGCAACGCGAGCGGGGTGAAAGTCACTATGCAGCCCGAGGTATATCAGGAGCGCCCGCGCGTTCTCAAAGACCCGAGAGGCGCGGGCAAGACGAACTTGAAAGGCAACCCCGACCATCGCAAGGTCAAGGGGCCCAACCGAAAGACCATGATCTTACATGCGAGGACACATTACTGGGGTTGAAGGAGAAACGCGGGCCCGCCATCAACGCCTGTCGCGTGCTACCCTCGCAGCGCGTAGTCGCTTTGGTCACCGGGTAGAGTTGCGTCGCGAACCGCAACGCCGAGACAGCGAACGCGACGCACGTGCGCATCAACATAGCGAGACCGCGCCGGAGCGACGGATCTCGATACAACGCCGATGGTACTAACGGAGTGCCGTGCCCCATGCGCGCTGCCACCCCCCAGGGCCAATCTGAATGCCAAGGCGTCGAGCGTTGCGCGCAAGCTTGATAGCAGGTGCACTGGGATGAGCAATCATGCGTGTGATCTGTCGTCTTGCGCGCGCAGTAAGAGACAGCCCGCAATGTGCCAGAGCACACTTCCCCAGGTTCAGCCGAAATCCGATCCCAACGTCGAGGCGCTGCAAGAGAGGGAGAAGCGTCGGAATATCGATAATAACATTACTCAGCCCAAACTGAAGATCATCAGCATGCCCAAGAATTTGCCGAGGAAGACGAGAGGCTAGCCAACGCAGACACGGGTCAAGCGCCAGAGCAAATAGCAGCATGCTGGACGGGCCCCCTTGCCGAACTCCCCGTAACGAACGAATCGCTCGGCGCCGTTGCCCCCCGAAGCAGACGGTGCCAGAGCTATCCCGATAAGGCGCATCGAAGGAACCAGCCATCCCCAGGATGCACTTTCATCATTCGAAGAACGCGCAGGAACCAGGAGGCCGCAAAACTCGGAAACGCGGCGGCGAAGTCCGCGGGAAACACGCAGGAAAGGTCCCTCTCCAGCAGGCAATTACGAACGCCCCGAACTTCTTTCTAGAATCCGGTCGGTCATCGAACGACCAGGGAGACAAGCCTGAGCCTTCGACGCAGTCTCGCGAGCACGCCGTCCAAGTCTCCACGAGAAAGCAGTCGACAGTAACTTGCAATCCGCGCCAGCCGCGGCAAGTGGGCGGCAGGCGTCGGGAGAACGAAAAGAAACGCCAGAGAGATTTGAAGCATGCTCCCCTCTCACAAGAAAGACCGGCGGCATCTGTCGCGCGCTGCGCGGCAGCCCCCCCCCCCGAGCCTCCGCGGCGCGAAGGTAGAGCTGATGCAGAATCTCCATTGGGCCAGCGCTGTTCCAACGCGAGTGCACAATGCCGTCGGGGCCAGGCACGGGGTCAGATCTGGCACGCACCATTGCTTCAAGCCGTCGAAAGCCATGACCCAGGAGTCTTCAGGAATGCCTTCCAGAGGCTGAACAGACTCATCCAGCGCGACCCAAAGACCAGCGCCGCAGTCATGAGCGCCAGAGACTCTCTCCCAACGCGCCGCAAGCGCCTCGCCAGCAGGCCCCGCGGACCCAAGCGGGAACCGCCGGGCCCCGAGATGTCGCCCAAGGAGATTCGCTTGTGCATCGGGCGCCAAAGCTCCTTGCGCCTCTGAAGTTTGGCCCTCGGGCGGTTCTCGACATCGAGGTCTGACATGCGCTCGATTCCTGGTCTAGAGCCCTGATCCCTTGGTTCTGAAGCGACTGAATGTGATCGCGCAAGAGAGGCAGAGAGAGGCGCGTGCATTCGTCGACGCCGAAGAAGCGGGCAATTCCACGACGCGATTCAATTGGCGTCTTCAACTGCCCCTGCGAACGAGAGCGAACGCTGCGCAGCGCAGCCGAGGCAAAGTGGATATCCCCACCAACCTCGGTTGCCGATTTCGCCCGAAGACGCTTCTTCATCTGGTGAGCCGCCTCACGCATGCACTGTTTCAGCAGGGAGGCCTGATCCACAATCGGCAGAGCTCTGCCCAGGTCACCCAAGAGGAATGCCAACGCGGCATGAAAAATAAGGCGACGGCCAACCCAGGGCGGGACCCGCGGGAACTCGGCAGGAGAGAATCGCCTGACCGACTCCGTGACAGGAAGACGGCCCGATACATGTCCCAGACGAGCCGCCTTGCCAGGGGCCGAACAAGCGACCGTGATGTCCAACGGGATAGCAGAAAGGGTTCGTCACATAAATGCGATCAAGACGACTCACGTGCGCCAGCTGCCCGCTCTGCGTCTCGCGACGGGTCGGCTCGGGCTGGCGCAACTCAGTCCAACGAGGGAAGTGCTGGGCAAAGACGGCACGTCGACAACGGCCCCCGCGGGCGCCACCGAGACCCATCCGCGCGCCGACGCCCTTCCTCCTCCAACGCGAAATCAAAATCACCGCGAGCAAAAACCAGGGCCGCCCCAGCAGCGGCAAGAGCATTGCGAATGCGGCGCAGATCTCGAATGAAAGCCCAGGCGGGCTCACCAGAGGTCGGGACATGAGCGCTGAGCGCCCAAGTAGCCCATGCATTTGGATGGAAGAGTTCTGCCAGGGACAATAGGATGGCGTTCGATGTCCGCGAAGCGACGACTGAGAGCAGGAGAAGGAAAAGTGAGCAAACCACCCGCGATGCCTGAGATTCCGCCAGAAAAACCAATGGAGCACCCACGCAAGTCAGTCTGAATGGCCGCGGCATCGCCCTGGGTGCCATGCGCCTCTCGACAAAATACTGGATCGACGAGAGTGCGCAAGAAACTGAGATGCCGCCTGGAAGCGCGAAGGGAAGCATGGGAGATGGAAGCGAGGAGCCCCCTAGACTTCCAAGTAAGAGCAGAGAGAGCAAAGGGCGGCGGCGGCGCAAAAGGATGAGGCGTTTCAAACCGCCCCCCCACCCACCGAGAGACGGATAAGACGCGCACTGGGCTTGGGTGGCATTGCCACTACTAACTGAATTCACTCTCGAGGGGGCCCCATCAGTGGAAGAATCCGCGCCGCTCGCCCTCGAGCCCCAAAACTGGCCTCTGGGCGCATTATATCTTTTACTGCCACCAGGCCAGTCATGCTCCTCCTCAAATGGGACAGGAGGGAACCGACTCAAACGCAGTCTCGAATTTGTCGCGAACTGACTGCAAACCCAAAGCCGTGAGCCCTTCTTCCTCAATACGCATGTGGATTACACGGGCAATCTGAGGGAAGCAACTGAAGTGAAACATTGGGACGATATCCTCCTTCGAGCGGAGCGCAAAAACATCAGCCCAAATGCCGTTCGAATTAACCTGATGAAGGCCTACCTTACTCAGCTCATCCTGCAACGCCTGACACACTCCCCCCATCTAGCAGAACAAGAGACGATGCTGGGGAGACAGGTTTCTGCGTACACGAAGAGGCCAGAGGTCCTGCGGGTCCCTGGGGCTCGGCACCGAGTACGTTTCACTCAACTTCCTGAAATTGTCCGAGAAGTCTGACGCCATCGCTGGGAAAGTGAAATCCCGAGTAACCTTCTTCTGTAGGTCATAAGCACGGATCCGGATGAGCTGCCCCGCTTGTTCCGTCGCACACTTGCCTACAATGTCGGGGACGATCCTTTCTAACGTCGAAGCCATGAGACGATCCTTGAACCCCAGAAAGAACAGGCGATGAGCATTCTCTAGAGCAGCTGAACTGTTCCCAGCCGAGGCGCAACTGTCCGAGTCGACGGCCCTTATTTTCCCCGAGAAAAGCAGTGCATGCGAAGACGGAACCTTCGAAACAAATGACTGATGTGCCTGTTCTAGTGCATCGAGACGAGCCTGCAACCCGTCCTGGGCTGACGTGGCCGAGGAGATGTTGTCCTTCATTTCCTGGATCTGCTGACCTTGGGCCGGCACTGTCTCAGCGATCGGCCCGAATTTCGCATCGACATTCTGATCTAGCATGAGACTCGTAGTTGCAAGGTGCTCAGCCAACAGGGATTTGATGGACTCGATGTCCGCCATTGCCACGGCAGCATCGGAGGGAGAAAGGGGATTGTACACTGCATTGGCTGAGGTGTCCACAACATCCCCTGTGGCAAAATGCTCGAGAGGCCCTTGAGCCAAAATGGGTTGAGCCAAAATGGCTTGAGCCAAAATGGCTACGGATGGTGATGATGATGATGATACTGCTGATGATGATGAGTGCGTGGGCGCGTAGGTGCGCGAACGAAAAAGAAGAGGAACGGGAGGAAAACGAGGGGAGGAGAACATCATGCGGGGGCGGGGGGGCGAAAAGAAAACAACAATTCAATTGTGGATGTAGGGGAAAACGCAAATCCATGGACTTCCTATAACTCTCATTATGTTTGGGATTTTCGTTTTCCCCTCCACTCCCCGTATTTTTTTGGGCATCGGCGATGGTTGGTGTCTCTGTCTACTTGTCCCTCCTCATCCCCCCTGGCGAAAGGCGGGGGCAC